TAGAAGACTTAGACATACTCTTAGAAATTCCAAGCACTTGAATCACAAAGATAGTAATGGATGGGAATGAATTTGTATTTGGTTTTTTTTTTTCTTTTAAATTGCCAGACCCAAAAATAAAAAAACACATGTGCAAGCAGAACAGAAAATAAAAGCATTATGGAAAAAAAAAAGTTAATTGAAAAAATGAAATAACCTTTTCTTACGCAATGAAATCTAGATTGTTTTCAATGTGTTGAGGTAGCAGGGGTGAGCATGGTCATTGACTTGGACTACTCCTTTAATTACTGCAAGGTGTTTCAAAATTAAGTAATATGTATTCTAATCATTGCAAATCTTTTTAGGGTGAACTCTTTAAAATGCAGCTTTATTAAATCCAATCTAACAAGAGACAGCTATACCAGTTATAATTACTTTTTTAAAATGTTACATATACATTCCATTCTTTATCCAATAAAGGATTCTAGTAAAAGTGAACAACGGTTATTGTTATTTTTAACAAAAATTCTTAAGACTCCAACTGGTTGAAAGACTATGGATATAAAATCCAAGCACATTTTAAGTGGAACTGAATGTTGAAATATTATTAGTTTTTAACGTGCATTGATAGTCAGGTTACAGAGCTATGAACAGCTCTAAAAGCTAGGTGGCAGGGGTACTCAGCATATTTCAAACATCAAATATGGCTTTCCTCCTTCTTTTTACATATCCATCTTGGTCCAATGGCTGTTGACTCAAAAGACTTTCTAAACATGTCAGAATGTCTCCTGAGGTATAGGATCCAGTGATCCATAAGTGCCTTGGTTATCAAAATTTACAAGAAGAAAGTGTGCATCTGAAGCCCCATATATGCCGAGTGCTCTTCCAATTCTGCTTCTTAGGGACATTCAGGACAATAATTTTAACTGAGTCAGATTTTAATACATCGATCATTTTTACAATATTAATATCTATATAGCTTAATTATTTGGGACCATGAACAAAATGTTTTACCTGCAAGGTTTTCTAAAACTTCACTCTTCCCCTACATGCACCTAAAAATTATTTTTTTTAATTCTAGACACCGACTTTTGCAGCTGTTCTGCTAAGAACTTACATTACCTACCTTAAAAACCTCATGGATAGAACATTCAGTTACAGGTAAGTTTTTCAGCTCTTAGTATTAAAACTATTTAGGTATTTGTGTATTCAATGGCTATTCAGGTAGTTATTTATATATTTTTATTCCTAACAGGTGTATAATTTCTTTGTTAGTTGAATGGTGACATAAAAACCAAAGTTAAACTCTACAATGCAAGAAAAAAAATAAAACAAACATAGGAAGTTAATGACAAGCTAGTAAAATACACTACAGTCAATAAAATGAGGGAACTACAAGAAGAAACTAGCACAAAAAGTAGGCTACAAGGACTGATATGGTATATTAACACATCATTTTTGAGTCTGGCCTACATAATTTATTGGCTTTGACATCATTTTGCTTTCCCTTTTGGTTAAAAGTACATTTTTTCTCAAAGTCGGCAATACCTGTGTCTACCTGTCCTGTCTGGGAGACTGAAAGATAAAGGTCTGTAAGAGAGAAGAATGGAAAGAGCTAGAAAAGATCAGGAGGTTCGGAAAAATGAGGTCCGACTTAAAAGACTAAATTAATACCCAACTGAACACTCCAAATAGAACCAAGTAGCCCCATTTTACCTAGAGCACCTTTCATGTCTCTGACAGTATCCCCAAGAACACCTCTCCCAAATTTCCCTCCCTCGATTCCAAATCACAGTAATTGTTTTGGTACAGAGGGATTGACGAGGAATCCATTCAGAGACCATCAATGCTGGGCCTTAAACCTAGGGGCCAAATGTTGCAGCACAAGGGATACTTCTCCCCAGGGAAAAAAAACTACTAATTTCCTGAATAGCAATTTCAGGCTCTACCAGTCTAGGTAGCAAACAGAGGAACCAGAAACCAAACCTAGGACCTCTGTACAGCTCTACAAGGCAGTGCCTCTTTGCCAAAGGGATGAGCAAACCTTTGATTTGATTAAAAAAACAAATCAACTGGACATCTGTGAATCAAGTAAACATATACTTAAACTTTTTCATGATAAACTTCAATTGATGGCCAATTTAGAAACCTAAGCAGAATAACTAATCATGTTTGACATAAAATAGTTAAACTGATTGCCTTAATATAATCATCCTGCATTTATTCTATTGAATATGAAAGTATGCCCCGTGATCTGCACACACAATATTTTATGTAAAATTTTAACTAAAAAATGTGGTCATTCCTGAAGATGTAGGACAATTATATTTAGTAACACTTGCCATTTTAGTAGCGACAGGAAAATCAGCTCATTCCTGACAGATACTTTCTGGATCCAAGCGCTTTGAGTGATTAACTGAGATGGCAATCAGAAAGCTGTAAAATGTTTGGAAGCTAATGCTTTAGTCTTATAACTATGAAAAACAAGCCCGATTAATTTTAAAAGGGCATTCCAGTTTCTCTTAATTTATTTCTAATTCTGTTTTCAATCAAAATTTCTCAAAACTGACAAGATCTGCTGGTTCTTATTTCTTGAAATGCTGCATTAAAGAAAAAAGAAAGAGAGAAAACAGCACTGACATCCACCATGTTGATGCTGGTTTTAAGTTTTATACCTTGAGAATTCATGTTCCAGAAAATGATGCTGAAAGACTTGTGCTAATTTTGGCAAAGAAGAAGAACCAGTGATCTGGAAATAGCTGAAGATTAGAGATACGTGTAACAAATGATTAATTAATAAACTAAGTAAATATTTTCAAAGTACTCTTAGGTATCTTAATATTAGAGTAACTGAGAACTGAAAAACAGTTACTGCACTCAAAATCTGCGTTGATGAAGAGCAGATCGAGAAGTCATACACTGCATCCCAGTCACCATGTATATTAATTTATTACTACAGCAGAACCAGATTATTTGAACCCAGGTGGCTTGCAACCTGTTTAATTCACAGTGGGTTGCTGAATTAAGAATAAGCAGTTCTGCTGTTTGCTGTGGCTTTTACTTCAAAAGGCACTGCTTCCCTGCTCAGTTGGAGCTCATCAACAGTCCCATGCAGTTGTTTGCTGCAACTCTGCATACACTTCTCTCTTCCCTGGATACTTCACAAACACTCACCTTCACAGGGGGTGAGGAATCTAGCCCTGAGAAGCATCTGGCTCCCACTGTACTGTACTTTAACTTCTATAATTCACTGCCGTATATAACAGGTGAAATTGGTGTGGTATATGAACACAAAATCTGCGAGAGATGAATGTTATCTTTTGGTACTTTTCTACCACCTACTCTTACATTATAGACAATATTCAGGAAAAAGGGCAATTAACTTATAGATGAGGTCATGGAAAACTGCAAATAATATGACACTGCACTGCACTGATAGGTTTCATGTGAAAAGTCAAGGACTTCATGTTATGGCAATAGACTTGATATATCTGTACACTATTGCTTTAAATAGTGTTTTTAGGCAGAACTTTAGAGTTCTTTAAATAGTATTATACATAGAAGTTTTAAGCTGCTTTCTGGACTTTGCATTCCTCTTTCACTGTACCCAATATAGAAAAGAAATGTATGCACAAGTTACTCAAGTAGATCTTATTTATTTTATTATAAAGCCATGAATTTCACTTGTCATCCAGGACTGTCAAAATGTTAAATGCACACTGACATACACAGTATGGCACTATCTCTAACTTTTGTGCCTGTCAGTGTTAACTCTTACTTACTTGAAGTGATTAGGAAGTGGGACAAAGTGCACAGCCTAAGGCAATGCCAGCTTACAAAAAAGATGGAGACGTGTAGATGATCAAAGAAGAGAGCTAGTAAGCTCATTTCTCCTTTAATTTGGCAAATGTGGTAACTATTTGTTTAAATGTTAACTGGGAGGTTTATAATTTAGATTACATTTTGGCTCCTTGCAAACACAAGTTACACTAATGTATTTCAGAAAGTGTTAATTTGCTCAGCCTGCCTCAGCTTCAAGGAACACTTCCAAATTTTGACAGGTTGTCCAGAAATTTAAGCAGTGAGGCCAATGAGTGTCCAGAAATTGATAATGTGATCAGTTCTACAATTACTCCTTCTCACAAACAAAAATCAACCATAGAGCCTTAGGTAACAAGAACTGCTAGCCTACTGATTCTTCTCTGCAAGGTAGACTATTTAAATGAGCATCCTACCATTCTGTGTCACAATAACATTACTTCTAGGATTCTTTTCTCTCCCAATTAAGTACAGCAATACTAAAGCAAAGCCATCTAGATATTTAATTCTGGAGAATCTAATGCTTGATATTAAATGTATTTAATTACACACATCTTGTCAGCTAATAGAGGATTTACATGTGTGTATCTCCCCATTTGAACTGATCTGGACATGGTATATGCAGAATGTTGTCTTCCCACCTACAGATGCTCAAATGAAGCCCAAATCTTTGTACTGGGAAAAAAATGGCAAAACTGCATCTACTTCAATGGGACTAGACATTACATTCACATATTACTACACTTCTGTTAATGCTTGTTTATCCTTGGTGTCACAAATTACTGTGATTCAATACCCTGTCACGTAGTCAAAGTTTATTTTGTTAGGAGACAGAGATCTATATAATATAATGTTGTCCCTTAAAGTTTGCAGCCAATATTGGGTTTCATCCTAAAAAAGGCAGAGGCTTCAAGTAAACGAAGATTAAAAGGACTGTCAGTTGGTCCAATAAAAGATATTATCAAATGTCACATGTAACAATGGCAATGTGGCTTTTTTGATTAAAAAAGGAATAAGTAGCTACTATTCTATGTAATTATCAAAGAAGATGAAATGTATCACATACTATATGTGTACTGTCAATATCTAGCCTTATAAGCAAACAGCTGAATACAGGATGGTACTGAAGGACAAACAGCAAAGGTCGCTTATCATGCAGATAGCGCTTCAAGTTCAGGCCCACTACAGAGTCTCATTCTTACCTCAGACTTCTCCAGTTTATTTTGTGCATCAATCTGAGTAACAATTTCATTCATGTTGGTCTCCAAAACCATTCCACCCATGACCATTTCAGCCAAAATGTTATGGACCTAAGAAAGATCACACAATATTTCCTTTAATTAGCAAAATAACAATCTGTGAATATCTAGGTGCCAACTAAACAACTTTTATACAATTTATACTTCTTTTCATCGCATGATTAAGGTAAACTGCAAGTGCAGAGGGCTTTTTGAAAACCACAAGTGCAGGATCCAGGAAGAAGAAAAAAGAGGGTATGGACAAATCAGCAAACAGTAATAATGAGTCAGGGGTAGCAGAGTCAAGGCCAGATCCTATTGCATCTGTTAAGCACAGAAGTGGACTTAGGCACCTAAATGCATTCCAATTCTACCTTGCTGAAAACTCCAAAAAAAAAGTTGATGCAAAGTGGTGGAACCTCCTCCTCACTGCTTTTCTGTGATTCAGTCTTGTGTATCACATGATGGTGCTTTACAAAAGTAGATACATTAATGGATTTTGAGAGAGAATAGATTTCTTAGGGACCTAAATCCACTTCGTTTATGGATCCATTTCAAAAGAGAATATTTCAAAAGCTGAGGTGCTGACCAGGAGCATGAAGAAGCTCTTGTGTTCTAACTATAGTGTTAATAAGCTGTGAGCAATAAAAATATAGCAAACTGCTTCATCTTGAACCCTGGCTGAAGTGCTGCTGGAGTCAGAGCAGCTTTGCTACATTTGGTTGTTCCAGTTGTAACTGCAATTGTTAGAATATAATAGCTGCTGCATGGTTTGGAGCAAGTCTCTCCTCCCCTTTTTTAAATGGCAAATGTACTTGCATCCATACTTGTAGTCCTCTGACACATTACACTTGAGATGTGATAAGTTACTCACATCTTAAGTAGTTACCTGGCCACATGTTCCCATCATGCCCACATGGCCAGGCTGATTGGGGCTCCCAGCCTCCAGAATGCATACAAGCCCTCGACTCCCACGTGTTCCAGAGGCTGATGGCTGCTCCCAGCCTCAGGGGCCCATTGGAGTCAAGGGCTGCTCTTCCAATGGGTCCCACAATTAGCTGCCACTCCCAGCTGCAAGGGCACATCAGAGCTCTTGACTCTGATACAGCCCCTCAGCTGGGAGTAGTGGCAGATCTGGGCTCCCAGCCTTAGGGGTTCAGCTGGAGTCAAGGGCTCCATTTCACTTTCACAACTGGGAGCTTTGATCTGCTGATCAGGGCTCTCACATCCATGGGAGCTTGCTACCTGCTGGGGCAGGGGGAGCTCAGGATCAGGATCCCAGGCTTCCCTTGCACCGGCAATACAGTGTGATGGGAATCCGAAATTCAATTTCACAATCATGCCTCCTGCCATTCACATGTGGCATAGCAAGAAGCACAATTGTGGGGCATGTGCGTTAGATTCCATTATGCCTTTAATTGCACATATGCCAGGGGCCAAGAATGCTCAATAGGTGAAAAAGAAAATGGCCCTTACTGCAGACAGTAACTCCTGACCCCCTTTTAGCTTACTGCAGTGTAACTGCTTGTCCATGCCCCAAAATGCCTTTCCTGGAGTCAAAACCTTGGTTTACCGCACTGGTACAGCTAAATCAGTCATGTTCAGCTCATCTGGCCCCACGGGCCTTGTCTGGCATGAAGCATTAGTCTGTGGGCCCATTCCAGCCTCTTCATCTGGCTCACGGGGCTCCCCAGGAGTCCCAAAATTTGGTGGCAGGATGAACAGCAGCAGTGTTATTTGCCATAGCTCCAGCTGTGTCAATTAATGCTGCCACCATTCCCCTGCTTCCAAATTTCTGGACTCATAGGGAGCCCTGCAGGCTGGATGGCACAGCTCTGCGGGCCAGATCTGACACGTGGGCTGTATCCTGATCATGCCTGAGCAAGATCATCAGGTCTGCTTCTTTGCAGATTACTAAAGGTAAGAGGATCTCCAGGATTCCATTCCTTTGAGCACCTTTCTTCCCAGAGACTGCCAACACATAACACTTGTAAAATGTGAGCATTTACAAGAATAAACTCCCTTATACATATCAGCAGTTTATGTACATGTGTGTGTATACACACGCACGTACAACCTTGAGCAGGCACTTTTTGGTACTGAATAATAAATAAATAAATATAGCCAAGCAGTCTGTAATGCTTTTCTTTGTGCTTTTTTGCAAGTTCATTTACTTACATATGTATTTAAACACTGACCATGCTTAAAGCTACAGAAGCAAGAAATAATTCTAAAATAGAAGCACCTACAAAAGCATCTTGAAGATTAAAAAAAATTCAGCAATTTTAAAGATGGATTGATCAGTGATGGAGGCAAGGCGGGGAGGGTGGAAACTTTTAAAGCTCTAAGCCTAAGATTGCGGAATGCACATGCTATTACTGAATCAATAACTCTTTGAGCTACCATTATTGTTGTAAGTTTATATAAAGACTTATGCCCCAGTTTCAGGAAAAAAACAACTTTCTATATATTAAGAAACATGCAGCATTTCAACCCCATAATAATTCTAGACTTTGGATCACATTTGTAGAGTTAAAATCGTGGTTTGCAAACAACCCATCACATCAAAGCACGTTCCTCCTTCCATGATTCTGGCTCTTCATCTTGCTTCCCAGTAGATCAAAGGCGGCAAACAACTGTGTCAAAGCACTGCAAAAATATCCAAGTGTGAGGAGCTTACACTGTGATCCAAAAAAGAACCACCAAAATTCCTGCTTTGGTGCTACAGCTTTGAAGGGATATCCTAAAGAACAGGACTCCTCTGACAACTTCTGAGGATACTTCAACTGAAACATATAGTAAACGTTCAGAGAGACAAACAGTTCTTTCCTCCCCCATAGATAGTTCTGTTACACAAAGTCTTAAGTCGGACTATCAAACCTTAAGGGGAATGATTAAAAATTCTTTACCAGAATGGGGTATTTCTCTTGGAAAAGACACATCAACTGACTGTGTGTGTCATATAGCAAGAACTTCTGTGGAAAGGGAACAATAAGGATAGTGCAAAAGACAATTTTTTCTTTCAGTTCTGGCTTACATCCAAAAATTCAAACAGAGAAAACACAAACATAGATTTTTGCCATAAATGTATTCTATTTAAACAGTTCAAAATGACTGAAGACAAAAATGAAAAAGGGTAACCTCAAAAAGCAGTTTCAAAAAAGAAGTTGTATTTTTTAGTTGGAACCATTGGAATATTTTCTTGCATTACATAACTCTATACCTTAGATAAAATAAGTACATCAAAAAATCAGGGTGAGAGAAAGCTGACCCATAATGTTAGAAAACAACGCATTTCATAAATCCTAAGTTAGATACTTTTGTATATTAGTGCTAATATGCAGAAAAGAGCTATCCCTTACATTATACAGTTTAATTTTATTAAATTAGTTCAACTGTCAATTTAAAGAAAATCCCAAAGAGGGATGAAACATTGGGCTAAAATGCAATAAATCCATTACTAGTGAGGGTGAATTACCCTGAAGATGGTACAGTGTTTTTTAAAAAGCTGTGACCAAGATGGCCAACTGTCTAACTCTTTAAGTTTATGCTGCATTTGCAGAGACTTGGAGGATACAGTATGTGATGAATGTGTTTTATCCCAATAGTAGGCATGTAAACCACAAATATGCTTCATTAATCCAAAATAACAGAGTTCTTTTGCAAAGACTCATCATAATAAAACATCTTGCAGACATGCTTATAATCATTTCCTCCCTTATCACTCATGTCATGCAAATAGAGGAGTTCTCAGAAGGATATGCAAAGGTCAGCAATTTTTAAAATATGCAAAATACTTGTAAAATAAAGAAAACTGAATGGCCTCCAAGCTATAGCCTGAGAAATGTAAAATTATACCTGTTTTCTTACAAGAAATTATTTCAACAAATATTTAATAACCAAAATAGTTTTATACCATTTTTATGAAAACGTGCAACAGAATTCACTCTTCCTTTTCTGATATTTTTCTGTGTAACACACTGCAGACAGTAACAAGTCATAAACTGCTTAATGGCAATATGCTATAGGCTTTCAACCTGTGGTCCATGGACTCCTGGGGGTCTGCAGACAATGTCTAATGGGTCCATGAAAACTGACTACAATCAATCAAAAGTATGTGAATACACACACTTACAATTCAGAGGGGTCTGCACAGCCATTTGGAATTTCCAAACGGGTCTGCACTTGCATTCGAAATATCTAGTGGGGTCTACAAGTGAAAAAAGGTTGAAAACCAATATGCTATACCATTTGCTTGTATTCACTTGACCAAAGTGTGGGGGAAGACAGCAAAGGAAATGAGCAAGCAAGACAATGTCACAGGTAAGAACAGTTTAGAAGGTGCGCAAAGGTCACAGAGTGATTTTATGTTAGTTAGATCTTGTTTGGGACCAGATATAGTTTAAAGAAGGGATAAAAGCAGGTATATTAATATCAATTAGAGTAGAATCTATTAGGATGATTTCTATATTTTTCTAGCTTTAAGTAAGCTTCCAATACTAAGCCAGGTAATAAAAAAAATCCAGGTCCATTCTGGGATTTTTGCTCTTCAGTCTTGACCTACAGTTCTTGCTGAATTGGCACACCTGCAGATGGGCAAGTTAACACTGTTTACAAACTTAATTTTTGAAAACTAGATAAATTGTTTTCCGTAAAAGACTGGCCACCTGTTAGCAAAGCGATTATGAGCCAGGGTGCCATGGAACTTAAGTGTGCAAATAGGATTCACAAGATAAATGCAGAGTTTTCAAACAGGAATCCAGTGTTAAAAACATCATGAGCTGATGTAGTCTTGCTTCTTTGCAACAGATGAACTGCTCTATTATTTTTCAGTAGTCCAAAAAAAAAAAAAGAGTAAAAAATAAGAGCTGTTATTTTCCAAGGGTTGTTTCATACCTAAAAAGGTTGAGGACCACTGTTAGAGGCTTTTTAAGATTTTAAGACTTAGATAATTTAATGTAAATTTATTTCAAATATTAATAAGATTATTTCTTAGGTGAATGCACATTATCAGTTTTAATAATTTTAATAGTTTGATATGTAATATTGTTAGGTCATTTATATCTTAACTTTGTAAAGGTATACGTCATACGGTAAAAGTGTCCAGTGTACAGGCCACTGAAGCCCATTTGGGCAGTGGAGGCATGGCACCACTCTTTCTTTAACCTCTGCATGAGAAGGAGGTGATATGGGCAGAACCAAGCTCTCGCCACCTTTACCCCCAGGTAATTCCTGGTACCCATTGGATAAGCATAATTCATTAAGTTTTTAGCATAGTGTAAGCATAGTTTTTTTCCATTTTATTTCAGACCCCGTAACTGAAAATGAAAATAACTTCCAAAATGGAAAATTGGATTGAACGCTGCATCACGAAAGACGGCGCTTATGTTGAAGTCTAGAAATTTCAGCTGTATGGGCATGTATGGACAAAACAGGGGCCCTAAATTGAAGCGATGGGTTTTAAAAAACATCACTTCAGTTCAGAGCTGATTAAACCCCTGTGTCGTGCACATACCCTGCTGACTTACCTACCTCTCTGGCAGGGAGAGAAGGGCAAGCTGCCAACAGGCGGAGTGGTCCCTGGGCTGCAGGGGGGGGAGCCGCAGCCCCGCCCCCCCAGGTGGCACCCATCTGCAGGCACCCAGCTCGGGTGGTCCTGGGGGCCACCGCAGCTGCAAAGGGAAGCGCCAGGCACCCATGAAGATCAGACAGGAAGGCAGGCTCCAGGGGGGTGGTAAAAAAAGTTCAGGCTTGCCACTTTTCTTGGGTGGACCCTGTTTCCCGGGCTGCTGCTAGGCTGCCTGCAGAGCCCCTGAGCTGCACGGAGCCTGGTGCTTCACTCCACAGCTGCAGGGGCAGCAAACTAAAACTCCTTGGAGGAGTTTTATTTTACTGCACCCCAAGTCATTTAAGGGGCATTACACCGCCAAATTTCCTGCAGCGGCTGGAATTAATGCGTAATATGCCACCAAGGCTTGCAAACACCAACACCATTAAAGCAGTACAAAAGCATTTAGCCCGCTTTAAAGCATCATGCACACACGCCCCCTTGTTTCAGCTACACATGGAGTATTATGTTAAAACTTAATGAACTCTGCTTTCAATCACCATTTACAGTTTGCTTCTATCATGTGTACCTCCAAAGTTAATAAAGTTTAAAGTTGCACAAGGACTTTATAAATACTCTGTATAAGTAAGGCTGCAGTCCCACAACAACAAAACAAATTAACACACACACACTGAAGAGGGAGACAGACTATCTGACAGGTTCACTAACTGCAGCTCACTGGATACTAGTTTCCTATTACATGACCTGTAAAGCACCAGAAATGCTGCAAGAGAGCTGCAGAGAAAGGAGTAGTACAGAAGGCAGTACTGCTGAAATTTAGACTATGGCATGAAAAAGAAAAAATGCACACCCCCAGAAGACCAGTTTCTGGCTGTATACTTGTTTTTACAGAGGTTAATCTGTCTGCACTGGAACTATTTACATTTACATTAGTGTTGCTTAAATTTAGCTTAAACAGCAATTGTATACCACTGGAAACGCACATACATGCATGCTCATCCATGTAATGACTTAGTGGCGTAGTACATAAGTATGTACAGATTTTCCGATACACATGACCTCACAGAAAAAGTATTTGAAATACTGATTGAGAAACACCAAGAATAATTTCTACACCTTTCTTATTCACTGAGAAACTTCCTTTCAGTGTGCTTAGCTTTAAATGTTTCATTACGAGTTTCAGAATGATACATAAGGTTCTTTTGAAGCAGTCGAATGATCAGATTGGGCAATTTGAAGGATTATGAAAATGCAGCCAAAAATCCTTAGAATTTAATCATTTGAAATAGCAAATGAACACTTCAGTCTCTTGGACAAGGGGCACTCATGGCTGCCCCCTTTTGCCCTATAGCAGCCCCTGTGTCAGCCGCTTTGAGGAGTATGCTGTGTTGTGGGCAAGCAGATGCATGGATGCAGAGTGGTGCTCAGCCTGGTTCATTCCCTAGCTCCTTGCATGCTCCCAGGTCTGGCAGGAGTGGCTACAGGGGCAGGCAGCTCTGGATCTGAGCATGGGAGTCCCCAAAGGAACAGCTGCAGCAGTAGGGTCCACACTTGCCCCCTCCAGTACGGACTGGGGACGGGGAAGAAGTCGTGTCCCTCCCCCACTGACCCATGCGATCCATTCCCCTTCTGCTCCTTCAACTCCCTCAGCACCTTGCACGTGCCATGTATGTGCAGCCTGGCACCTCAACCCTGCAGCCAGGGTGTCCCTGAGTTCTGTCTGATCCTAGGGCTGAAGTACAGTGAGGATCGCCGTGGGCAAATTAAGGGCAGAAACTGGCCCACCAGTTCCTGGCCCCCAACAGTGGCCTGGACCCAGGTGTAGAGAATCCAGGTACTGCACTGGGAGCAAACATGAGCACAGCCAGCCAGAGCTAGGAAGGAGCAGCCTGAAAAGGTGACTACAATATCATAATGCAATTAATTACTAACATGTTAATTAATAAAGTGTTTATAATATTTATATTTATATTAGCTTTCAAAATGGAATACCACTAAATTCTGAAAACTTGCAGAGGAGTGCCTTGAGTCTAAAAAAAGGTTAAGAACCACTGATCTATAGCACTGGATCATACCCTGAGAGGTCAAGCTGTTAAAATCTTTTTTTTTTTAAACAGAAATCTTTTTATTATAAGACGCTACTTGTAAAGTATTTTTAAGAAAGCAAGACTGTTTCCTGCTCCCATTCCACAAGCTGTCTACCAGCACAGCTGTATGCGTGGCATTAGTAACTGTTGATAAGGAATGCATGTAGGAAGAGCTTTCTTAGGAAAAATCTGTTGAAGAAATATTTTCTGGTCTTCAAAAAACTTTATAGTTTGGTGTTGGGTTTCACTATTCCAGTCAGAAAATACACTCTTGGAATAAGTTATGACACTCCCAAAGCATCCACCACAGGTGCCAAAAAATGAGAGTACTGCAATATCTGCAGAAATGCATACAATTAAGAATCCAAGAAGGTTAAGTAGTTACCTAAACATCTTCTAAAAATTATGTATTTTATCACAGATTGAATTTGACAGCATAAGGGGCTGACAGTTCCCTCATCTAGAGAAAAGCTTTGCCACAGTGAGAATTAGCCCTTTGTTCTGGGTTCTGAAGCTAAAGAAAGGAAGAAACATAGCATCTGCCTTTGACAATTCATTTTCCATCTCACTTCTGTCCTGTTCATCAAACTGAACCCAATACTTACTGTAGTTCAGTGATTCTCAAACAGGGTGTTAGTCTATTTCCCCACCCCTTTTTGGTTTAAGGAACAGTAGTCTGAGTTTAAGAGTAAGGTTTAACTTTAGGCCTACTATTTTGAAAATACTGGTTTAAGTATTAAAGGAGTCCTATGGATATAACCAGTAGATTGGGCAAGTCTTCTTGATGGAAACTATTCTGGCAAAGGGAAACCAACAAGGTTATAATAAAAACACACAGCTGAGTGCAAGCAATTTCAATACAGATTAACATAGGAGTCAAGAAGTGTAATTTTTTTTTTTTTTTTTTTAGGAGCAAGCCCAATTTTTCCTTCATAATACAAGAGTTCCTCTTTTCTCCCTCACAGTCAAAAGTGCTAGGGAGTTCTACCAAAAATGTGGAGCTTAATGGTAGATATGCTCCTATGTGGATCACACCACTGTCCCAAAGAATAATACATAAGCAATGCTAGCAGCTACTAACTTATTGTGTTGCAGGGGGATAAGGACAGATTCCTTCCTGCACACACACAATTATTGTTTGGACACAACAACTGCACTTCTAATAATTTAGCAATTATATATACCAGAGGGTCCACAGTCTAGATGAGGGCTGCTGGACCAGTCTGCAGGCCAGAATGGGACTGACCCTCTGTGCACTGCCTGCAGTACTGGGTCCTGCCTGCATGCCGCTTGCAGCACGTGTTGGCCTGCATGGACTGTGCATGCAGTATGTGGGGCTGGCAAAAGGGCCATGCATTGCCCATAGTGTGTGGGCTGGACACAGTGCTGCAGGCAGCATAGCGGGTCAGTCTGGAGTACCATGGGCAACGCATACCACGTGCTCATCCCGAGCTGGACTGGTTGCATGTGCTGCACACTGCACAGGGGGTTGGCATAGGGAACACATTGCATGCAGCACCTTGCTGGACCAGCCCTATGCACTGGCTTCACCCTTACACAATCCGGATTGGTCCCAGAGCCAGTGCACAGGGCCAGTCTGGTGCAGCACAGCATGTAGTGCACACCTCTGACCGGTTCTCTGTGCTATATGTATGGTCTTCAACACTGGGTCCTGCCTGTGCGCTGCATAATGTATGCAGTGCCAGGGCCAGCACATGGGGTCAGTCCAGCAACCCTGGGGCCAGATGATATGGCTCCATGGGCCTGATCTGGTCCGCAGGCTGTATTTTTGATGCCCCTGATATACTCAATGACATCAGTGACATCTCCTACATCAGGGGTGGCAAACTTACCAGGCCCCTGAATGCTGGCTCCACCACATGTGGTGTTGCAGAAATCACTTGCAGAGTGGATTCTGCACTGGCTGAAGCAGGTGCTGCACGAAGTGTGGAAACTGGTGTGGCTGTTATGTGTGGTGCACTCCAGCCCAGAGCAGGTGCTGTGTAGCATGTGTCCTGGAATGGCTGGAGCTGTCCTGGACCATCCTGGGGGCTGGGGAGGTGCACTACATGTAGCTCAGATCCCAGAGTGTACAGTGCACAACCCAAGCCCTGCCCAAGTGTGGGTCAACTCAAGACCCACGGCCAGCACTTTCGGCTGGAAGCCTGGGCTCTGCAAGTCATATCTTTTATGCTTCTGTCCTAACTGTATTAATGAATCACATTTTCCTTGAAACAGGTCTTCCAGCACTTTTTTTTTAAGTTTTAAAAACAAATTGTTGAAAGAAACGGACTAGATTTCACTAACAACATGGGGAGGCTTGTTATCCACTCTGCCACACACAAGACCAAATGTGTCTTGTCAGGTAGAATGTTTGGTCCAATCAATATTGTAGTAGCTCACCACAGTACCTTATCTACATGGAAAATTAAATCCAGTTCACAGACATTTTCAAAACACTTGTCAAGTGTTTCCACGAATACCTGTAGGGGAAAAAAAGAAAAGAGGTCAAGGTTGAAGTGAAACTTCATCATTCCATTATGTATAAGCTTCAAAAATTGCATAAATGAAAAATCCTAGTGTCTGCAGTATGTGTGCTTAATACTGGGTGCATCTACACGAGACACTATGTCGCTGTAGCGACATACTATGGCAATGTAGTTCATCACTACAGCGATGTAGCATCGGTGTGCATAAACCATGACACTGATCCTGCATCGCAGTAGCAACGAGCTACCTTGTTATAGTTTGTCACTACAGTGACATAGCTGTTAAAAATAACCGTGCACCACTGGGATGGCACAGTAACAGCTGTTGATAGTGGGCACGTGTACATGTGCCCGCTAATTACTGATGTCTTAGGATAGTGGCAAGCCCCAGAAAAAGAGAATGTATAGAGTCAGACAGCTTTTAATAAAACTTGACAATGTGACCAAAAGATTGCTACATACATAGAGAGTTTGGACACTCAATACACACACACACACACACACACACACTATGTAGGCTATAACAAGGGTTTTCAACCTCTTTGGGTCAGTGTACCCCTGGCCCCCGGATGCGGAGCGGTGTACCCCAGCGGGTGGAGACAGAGCGGTGGTAGCTGCCGCATGTGAGCTTCCCCCCGCCCCCCCGTGTCCAGCCGGGCAGGTGGCGCCTATGCGGGAGCACAGGATGCTGAGCGGCAGCGCTCCATCCTCACCCACCCACATATACCCCTGGGCTATACCCCAGTTGACAACCCCTGCTCTACAATGTAGAGTATCCAAACCCTGAAAAGCCATTTCAAGAACACCAGTACTGAATCTACACTACAAATTTTGCAGTTGTGATTTCAAACTTTTCTAATTTCATTATAATTACATAACTGGTTAATCTATTATTTGTATTCAAGTAGCCTGTGAACAGCCAAGCAGATAAAGGTACCATTGTGCCAAGTACTGTACAGAGATAGGTATCAATTCTTCAAAACAAAAAAATGCATGCACAAGAATAATATTATTCACAGTGCATAAAATTAATTGCTTTAATGAGAATACTCAGTTTGTAATATTAAGCATGTGCTTAAATCTGAGATATTTATGCATGAGATCAATGTTCCAAACAAGAGGCAGGTATTTCTAATCAATAAGTTAAGTAATGTTCAAGGACAGTTCTCTTTTGCAAATACTTTCATCCAAATACATTTTCCCACTGCCCAAAAGAGCCGATATTATTTCTTAAGGAAGTCATTATTACATTATTTGCATTACTGTAAAAGTGAGGAGTACCTAATCAAGATCAGTGCCCTTTTGCTTCAGACACTGTCCTGAGTAAAAGACAGTCCTTACTCTGAAAAACTGAACCTGTACTGATAAACGGAGATCTTGGTTTTCTGTTTAAAAATGGCAAATTCTCTGATTTAAACCCCACCCAAAATCCACATTTTTCCATGATTAAAAATGAAACACCACTATATACACAGTTTAATATATCTATATTACACACACGCAGACACACGTACCAGTTGAAGACTATTTTATTGATATATTTACAATTTTTAAACAATTTGGAAGCGTACCAGTGCCTCAGTCACTATAACAAAATAAATTCTAAATACATATACATTTTCGCATTTGATTTTGGGTTTTTATCATGGAAAATCAGAACTACCCCTTTTGTTCACCAGGACAAAGGTCCAGCTGCAGCTCCCGCGCCCCTCCCCGCTTTATGGCACTGAGCAGCCCTGATATGCCGATGCCCTGCCCATACCATTGCCCCTCACTCCCAACCCATAGTCCCCTGGGCCCTACTGGTGACTCTCACTCCCCACCCACAGCCTCATGGCCCCCCTCAGTCCTGCTGGAGGGGGCCCCCAGCTACCAGGGCTATGGGGCAGGGACCTGGGTTTGCAGCCCCTTCCCCCTACAGTAGCACCCAAACCCTGGCTGCCACCCCATGGGAGGCAGCAGTTGCTGCAGCAAAGTAGAGTGTGGAGTCCGATTCTTCCTCTCCTGTGGGTGGCATAGCTCAAGCAGAGCCTGATGGAGGGCAGGGGGGAAGGGGGGATGGGAGAGAGGGATGCAGGCTGGCCACTGTGGGCTCAGGGCTCTCTGCCCTGCCGACTTTCCCCTGGGGCTACCACATCCCAGAGGGTAGGACCTGGCGTAGCAGGGTAGAGCAGGTCTCGGCAGGGAAGCTCATTACTGCCACTGGGAGCTCCGTGTCACCATGGCGAGGTGCCCCCTGCCCACCTGGCAACAGTGAGGGGCACAACTACACACCACCCTCCCGGCTGCTGCTGGGCAGGCAGTGGGCGCCTCACCATGATGAGGGCTTGTGGCAGTGAGCTTCCCTACTCCACTCTGGCCTGCAGAACCAGGTCCTGCCTGCTAGGATGCAGAGGCCCCAGCGGAGGGGGCAGCAGGCCAGGAAGCCTGAGCCTGCAGTGGGCAGTCTGCCTCTGCTCCGCACAGAAATTTGTGGGGGCAAGTGCCCCTCATGCTTCCCCTGGAAGTATGCACAATGGTGGGAAGCCAGCTCGCCTGCCCCCCCCGCAACACACCCCCATCCTGCTCCCTGTGGCTGCGCTTCCTGGCCCCAGATCCCAACTCCACACATCACTTGGGCTGGGCAGCATCCCTAGCTCTGCCCAACTCCCTCACTACAGGGGCCTTGATTCCACACCCCACCCTGCCCCCTGCCACACTTATCTGTGGGGAGCTGTTGTCCAGGCTGCCTGGAGGCCGTGTGCATGTGTACGTGCGCACATGCACATGTCGTACCCAGCTGATCGCCCTTCTCCCACTCCCCCCAGGCCCTTACAGGCTGGAACTCTGCCAGCCTGCATGGGGAAGCCCACTATTTCCCATGTTTTTCTCCTTAGAAAGAGAAAATCTGGGTTTTACTGCATTTTTCCATGGCAAACCGAAAACCTGGATCCCTGCTGATAAACAAGGGGTTGGTTAGAGGGGTATCTTATACAGGATAAAATAAATAAAGCAATCGCCTGAAACTGTCACATCACTTTCTTTTCTTTAGGTACAGATTTTTAAATTACATGTGCATAATGTAAATACATGTTAATTTAATTTTGCTTGGTAGATTATGTATTTGTGTAATTCTAGAGTTGAACCCTACTGTAGCAACGTACAATTAAAACCCCTGGTTCCAAGTCCCTTTTTTCTCTGCATATCTTGTTCTTCCAAACTTACTCTTTTAGGTGAAACAAGATTCCTAACTGCCCTCCACCAGGAGAAACAGAACGGTAAAAGTGGTTCTCTGCCCATAACAAAAATCAAACAAAGCTGCACTACCAATGGCTACTGGAATACATGAGATTACATAAATGATGAGAATATCATTATAACATAAATAATGATACATTAGGAGAATATATAACAGATTTTTTTCATTAGACAGTTAGGGCTTTAATGAAATCAGAAGAAAAGTTTCAAACTCTCTCTCTCTCTCTCTCGACCGGACAATAAATCTTGTTTGCACGTGGTTATTTTTCCTTGCACACAACCCAATCTATTGGAAACTACTTTTTTTTTTTAATAAATTGAAGCCAAGGTTTCCAAGGATGCCCCATGAAAATGCAGTTCATGAAACAGTTCATGAAAACATTAATTAAAAAAAAAACCATTTAGGGCATGATTCTAATTGTAGAAAGCTATTAAGTTGGCTTTCATCCACATATCTGAGGAGAAACTTGTGACCATTATCCTTTTTTCCCCAAAGCCCAATTCATTATTCCCATAGTGTGTTTACATATACAGCAAAAGTTTCCATGTTTTACAATTTAGTCTTTACTATTTTAACAGACCTGTAAATTACCATGCAAGATGGATGTACTTTTTTGGTTTGGGATAGAGGTATAAGAGGAAGGACTACAAAATGTTCAGTAAATGACAAACACCAGTCTTTAATTTCCATTAATACATATTGCCATTCAGCCTGAAAGTGCTAACTTTGAAGTCAACGGACATTTTACTGCTGAAGTGCAATCAGGTACATGCTGGGTGCACAAATGGAATTTTCAAAATGTTTTTCACAAAGTTTTTGGGCAGAACTTGAATATTAAACTTCTACTTTAGAAGCAAATTAAATCCAGACAATTTTTAGTGGATTTGTGCAAGTATTATTCTTTAATACGGTCACAGAATTTAAGCCGAAATCTTAGGTGGTTTTATAAATAGATGCAACACAAGAACAAGAAGAAAAGAGTATTAAATAAGTATTGTCGGGAAGATTTAACAGCCTTTTTGATGTCTAAATATTTGCGGGGAAAAGTTAAGACAGAAAGTGTTTTCTACAAAGAGAAATATAGTTCATATATTAAACTACTCAAACAACACAGTTTATGACATAGCTCAGTAAAGCAAACAGATTGCCCAGGGAAAGTCCTTTCAACTTCCAGGTACTTTAGAGAGGAATATGCATACAAGAATAGATTTGTCCAATATTTAGTTGTGGGAAGAAAAATATTATAAAAAAGAGCAAACGAGAATATCCTCTCTCCAAAGTTTCCGTTACAAAGGATCAGATATTCGTGCTATTTATTTTTAGGAATTGAAAAGGCAAAGCCATCTGATCCAAAGCATAAACACTTGTACATGGAAGTATGCTCATTTGGACTTCAAGACAGGTCTGTCTGACTTATAAGCTCCTGGGCCCACACCAGGCAAGCTATAAGGCACCGGGTTATGCAGACATGGTCCCTACCACACTGCTTCACACACCTGCATGGGCACCTCTTCCTCCTGCTGCACCCCTGCTGTTGCCTGCATCCTCATCCCACTGCAAAGTGTGCCTCATGGGCACCCTCCCCTATCACTATCTCCTGTACAAAGCCCAGACTTACACTCAGCTCCCTGTGCTATACCACACTGCCTCACCCCGTGGGGCAAAAGCAGGAAGCAGCAGTCAAAGGAGGGAGTGAGCTCATCCATAGATTCCTGCTACTGTCAGAACAACAGGGAGAGTTGCAACTGGGTGAGAG